TTTTTTGTGAAAAACGGGGCATGCAGAGAGTTTGAGAGGCCTGAAAAGTGCTCCCGGAAGGGAGGAGGGGAATGAGCAAAAAACTACCTGTTTTTCACAAAAATGGACCCATTTTTTGCCAAAAGAAGCTTTTAGGAGGCTTGTAAAGTGCTCCTGAGGGCGGAGGGGAAGGGGAAACAAGCAAAAAATGGCCCGTTTGTCGCTCATTTTTGCCCTCCCCAGCCCCCAGAAGCACTTTGCAAGCCTCCCAAACCGTCCGCACCTCCATTTTCATGAAGCGGGTGGAATTTCGGGAGGCCAAAAATGCTGTATTCAGTGCATAAGACGCACACTCTTTTTAGGGGGGAAAAGGTGCGTCTCATACCCCAAAAAATATGGTAGTAGTGGCCAAAATTGTGGAAACCTTTTGGGAAAAGTGTATTTTTTTAAAACTAGCTAATACAACCATTTCCTTTTTGGAGTAGTACCATGAGATTCTATATCAATGCAAAGATAGTTTAAGCAAGAATGTAGTGCAATAACTTTTAGGAAGGATTTGCTATTAGAATGGCAGTTACAAAGAAGAAAGGTGAAACGAGAAATATAAAAATCATCAACATAGAAAAAAATGAGAAATGATTTTTTTTTTCAATCTTGGCAACTTTAAGATGGGTAGATTTCAACTCCCAGAATTCCCCCGTCAATTCAATTCCGGAAATTGCAAGCCCACCAGCCTACAAGTTTCTATGGTGGGGAAACTCTCTTCTCGGCCTATCAAATTGTCACTTCCTTTGGCTCTGTCAAAAATGCTTCACAAATGCTGGCAAAAGGCAGCATTTATCAATGGAATATTGATAATTAATATTTAACCGAATTCATAGATTGGAAGATTGGGGAGAGCAACAGAATCATAGCCCAGTGGGAGGATAAGTCTGGGTCCGACCTCCACCTGGGACGGCGGTCTTGCCCGACTGACCTGTGCCGGTGGGCGTAGCTTGTCCCAGAAGGGCATCCGAGTTCTGCGTGGTGACCACGGCAGTCGTCCCTGCTCCGGCAGAGGTGCTGGTGTCAGCCACGGTGGCCGGGTAATAGGTGTAGTGGGTCTCGGTGGCCGCAGCTTCAGAGTCGACGGCATCTTCGCTCGTAAACGCTCCTTGGATGACAGCCTGGGAAGAGGAGATCGAGAGTGACTTTAAACAAGAAATATAATTCTGGTTTGTCTTGTCTTAGGCGTATTACCAGAAAATTATAATAAAGGGATTAGACATTTAATAATACAGGTGCTGACAGCAGCGAGAATTGTATTTGCACAATATTGGAAAATGAGGATATGCTTACAGATGGAAGTATAATTAGAACAATATTAGACTGTGTGGAGATGGATGGATTGACGTTAATAGTAAAAGCTAAGGAAACGACAGAATATTTTTTAATATGGCATTTGTTTTATGAATGGGTAGATGAAAGAGGCAGAAATTAGAAGATGGAAGGTTCTTGATATATAAGTAAAAAGAAGTAAGGAATTGTTGGATTAAAGTAAGACCATGGTTGGAGAAAATGCTACATCAAAGTATAGAGTTAAGACCTGAGACATTTTTATTGGGTATCTTACCAGAGAAATATAACAAAGAAGATACATTTTTGATTATACATATATCAATGGCAGCGAGAATTGTATTTGCACAAATTGGAAAGCAGATAAAATCCCTTTGGAAGGAGAGATAATAAAAAAAAATTGGACTGTGCAGAAATGAATAGGTTAACTCTGAGAATAAAGGATAAAGAGGAAACGGGGAGAAGATTTTATGATTGGTTAGAGAAAGAATATGAATAAGATAGAAAAGGAAGCAAGCAAGAGAGAAATAGAAACCCACACTACTAAATGAAAAAGGGGGAAGAGGGGGGGAACTAGAAAAGTAGCAAAGTACTAATACTTAAGTATATGTTCAAAGAATGAGACATAGGTTAAAAAAAACAGTTTGGAAAATACACCGAGGAAAAGGAAATGTAAAAAGGTAAATATAAAGTTAGAACTGGGCTTGTGGGAATACCATTCCAAAAATACACCAGATGGAAAAGGAAAATAGGCAACCACAACAATAGGAGAGGAAAGGAAGAAAGGAAGAGGAGAAGAGAGGGAAGAAGGGGAGGGAAAGAAGAAAGAGGAAAGGAGAGGCAGATGGGGAGGGATAGGAAGAGGAGGAGAGAAGATATGAAGGGGAAGAGGTAGAGAGGAGTACGGGAGAGGAAAAGGAAGAAGGAAAGGGAAAGAAGAAAGGAGAGGGAGATGGGGAGGGATAGGAAGAGGAGGAGAGAAGATATGAAGGGGAAGAGGTAGAGAGGAGTAGGGGAGAAGAGAGGGAAGAAGGAAAGGGAAAGAAGAAAGAGGAAAGGAGAGGGAGATGGGGAGGGATAGGAAGAGGAGAAGAGAGGATATGAAGGGGAAGAGATAGAGAGGAGTAGGGGAGAGGAAGGGGAAGAAGGAAAGGGAAAGGAGAGGAGAAGAAAGTAGAGAAGGGAGGGAGGGAGAAAAGGAAAGTAGGGTGGAGGGAAAACAAAATAGGTGTATGGGATGATAAACAAAGCAATCCTGATCATATATTAATTTTTATATGGAAAAATGAATGTTTAAAAGTGTTAAAAAGTGATAAGAATAATAACTAAGAGAATGTATACTTGTAAATGTTTTATGAGACTAAAAATAAAAAAAACTTTTTTTTAAAAAAAAGGTTGATATATATGTAAAAGATGCAAGAATTGGACTATACATCAGTAAACATCAGTAGTATTACTAGAGCTGTTACTAGTATCATCATAATTATTATTATATTGTATAAGTAAATTGATCCATGTAATATACTGTTTATTAATCACCTAAGTACTTTAAAGAAAAAAATGTATAATTTTTTTTAAAAAGAGGGTGACTTTAAGATTTGTGGGAGTTGAAGTCCACAAGTCTTGAAGTTTTCAAAGTTTGAGATCCCCGGTCTAAAGCAAAGGGAAAAGTAGGGAAGATGCTTTAGGATGGTGCTTCTCAACCTTGGCCCCACCTTGAGATGTGGGGACTTCAACTCCCAGAGTCCCCCAGCCAGCATGGTCTCCTGGCAAAAGCTCCCACTGAAGCATCTTGAGACCCACCTGCGGCCAGAGATTCAGCCCAACCTCAGGACTGCTTTCTCTTCCCCGGGAGAACACGCCGTCCTCTTCTTCCAAACCGGCAGCACCTACCTGGGTCATGGACTGCGCTGCAGGGTAGCCGCTGATGGCCCCGCTGCCCTCCGTCTGCCCATCCAGCTGCCCCTCGGCCACCTGTATGACTCTGTACATCAGCTGGAGGGGGGGGGGGAGAGAGCAAAAAGGAGACAGGACAAGGTGGTCAACAGAGAGCCTTGAAATGATTTATTTGCCTCTCGCCTTTGTTACGTTTATAAAAACCTCAAAGCTGCAAACATCAAACAGACTTAGGCTAACTTTATTTCCCTTTGAATGTACAGGGCGGGGCATAACCTTTTCCTAGGGGGTCACAGCAACACTTGTAATAACAACACAAATAATTCATACACCATTCGAAAGCCCATCAAAAACT